CATAACTTGAAGGGAGACTGTAATAATTTGAAGATGTATATTATGAACACCAAAATAATACAACAGAGTTATAGCTAATAAATTTATAAATGAGATAAAACAGAATGAAAAAAATATTCAATTAATTTAAAAGAAGACAGAAAAAGAGGGAAACTATATTAATGATCATATGTAATTTAAATTGTCTAAATATTCTAACTAAAATGTAGAGGTTGTGAGTCTGGATTAAAAAAACAATGTGTTGCCTAACTATATTCTGCCTAACAAGAAACCCACTTTAAATGTAAGACAAAAAATGTAAAAATATTCTGACATGAGCAACATGGGTATTTGAGAAGCTTTTTTTTTTTACTTTTTAAATGCATTTTTCTTTTTCACTTGTAAAGTAATTAAATGTTAAGGTACCTTAAAAGCATAGAAGAGATTGCCTATTTTTGCACTTGAAGAGATAACATAGAAAGTTATTTCTAAAGTAGCTGTTTATGTACATCTTATATTTTTCTTGAAGGTTTTATTTTAAACAAGTTCTCTCATTACATTAGTTTAGTAATAAATTTATGAATAGTCTGCTGAAAAGAAATATTAGCATAAATCAACTGATGGTAAGAAAAAAACTATTAACACTCATTTTGGTGGGTGTTATATTAGAAAATCCAAATACAGCTTTACAGGTATTTCTGTGGGTCGGCAAGATAGTTCAGCTCAGGGAAATTCTATTTTAACACATTTGCACAATGGAAACTTTTGACTGAAGAGTCTATATGCCATACTATTGTATGTAGCATCTATAGGTCTCCATGAAATTACTCATAATTATATTATTGATTACTAAAAATAATTTAGAAAATAAAAAAATGATAAATATAAGACACAAATAGGTTAATGTTAAAAGAATGAAAAAAGATATGCCCTGTTAACACTAATTGAAAGAAAGATGGATTTTAGAGCAAAGAATATTATCAGGGTAGAGGAATGCCATTTCATAATGATAAAAGTATCTGGTCATCGAATGAACACAAGAATCCTAGATATTTATACACCAAATAAAGAACTTCAAATATACGATGCAAAAATTTATTAAACTACTGTGCGTGAATGTTAGTGTTCTACTTTTCCATTATAACTCCAGCTGGGCACACTGTAGTAGTCAGTTTTCTGTTGCTTATAACAGAATACCTGATACTGGGTAATTTATAAAGAAATAACATTTACTTTGTACAATTCTGGAGGCTGGGAAGTCCAAGGTCCAAGGGGCAAGGGGGCACATCTGGTGAGGGCCTTCTTCTTGGTGGGGACTCTCTGTAGAGTACCAAGGTGGTGCAGGACTTCACATGAGGAGAGGGCTGAGTATGTCCATATGATCTCTTCCTCTCCTTATAAAGCTACCAGTTACTCCCTTGATAATGCATTAATCCATTAACCCATGGATGAATTAATCCATTCATGAGGGCATAGCTCTCATGGTCTAATCACCTCTTAAAGGCCTCATCTTTCAAATACCATTAAGTTTCAACGTGATACTAGAGGCTGGGAAGGGAAGCAAGTAGGGCATAGGGAGAGGTTGGTTAATGGACTTAAAATGACAGCTGGATATGAAAAATAAGTGCTAGTGGTGTACAGTAGTGCTAGGCATCTATAATTAACAATAATTTACTATATGTCTTCAAATGGCTTAAAGAGAAGAGATTAAATGTTCTCATCACAAAGAAATAATAAATTTTTTGGATGACAAGTATGCTAACTACCCTGTTTGACCCTCACACATTGTATACATGTAGTACAGTATAATTCTGTACCCCATAAATCTATGAATATGTTTCAATTAAAAATTAAATAAGTTCCTTTAAAAAGAAGCTTCAACATGAGCTTTGGAAGGGACAAATATTCAAACCACATCACACACATAGCAAAGGTTTTATAAATGGCTGTTGAATGAATCAAATATCTTCTACGTACCAGATACTGAGGTAGGACCTTTACATATATCATCTTATATCTTGACACCAACCTTGTCAGATAGGTGGACATTAATTTTGTTTTACA